TACATGTATTCCCCATCCTGATCCCTGCTCCCACCTCCTTACCCACCCCATCCCTCTGGGTCTTCCCAGTGCACTAGCCCCGAGCACTTGTCTCATGCATCCAACCTGGGCTGGTGATCTGTTTCACCCTTGATAATATACATGTTTCTCAAAACATCCCACCCTCACCTTCTCCTACAGAGTCCAAAAGTCTGTTCTGTACATCTGTGTCTCTTTTTCTGTTTAGCATATAGGGTTATCGTTACCATCTTTCTAAATTGCATATATATGCGTTAGTATACTGTATTGGTCTTTATCTTTCTGGCTTACTTCACTCTGTATAATGGGCTCCAGTTTCATCCATCTCATTAGAACTGATTCAAATGAATTCTTTTTAATGGCTGAGTAATATTCCATGGTGTATATGTACCACAGCTTCCTCATCCATTCGTCTGCTGATGGGCATCTAGGTTGCTTCCATGTCCTGGCTATTATAAACAGTGCTGCGATGAACATTGGGGTGCACGTGTCTCTTTCAGATCTGGTTTCCTTGGTGTGTATGCCCAGAAGTGGGATTGCTGGGTCATATGGCAGTTCTATTTCCAGCTTTTTAAGAAATCTCCACACTGTTTTCCATAGTGGCTGTACTAATTTGCATTCCCACCAACAGTGTAAGAGGGTTCCCTTTTCTCCACACCCTCTCCAGCATTTATTGCTTGTAGACTTTTGGATAGCAGCCATCCTGACTGGCGTGTAATGGTACCTCATTGTGGTTTTGATTTGCATTTCTCTGATAATGAGTGATGTTGAGCATCTTTTCATGTGTTTGTTAGCCATCTGTATGTCTTCCTTGGAGAAATGTCTGTTGAGTTCTTTGGCCCATTTTTTGATTGGGTCATTTATTTTTCTGGAGTTGAGCTGGAGGAGTTGCTTGTATATTTTTGAGATTAATCCTTTGTCTGTTGCTTCGTTTGCTATTATTTTCTCCCAATCTGAGGGCTGTCTTTTCACCTTGCTTATAGTTTCCTTTGTTGTGCAAAAGCTTTTAAGTTTCATTAGGTCCCATTTGTTTATTTTTGCTTTTATTTCTAAAATTCTGGGATGTGGGTCATAGAGGATCCTGCTGTGATTTATGTCGGAGAGTGTTTTGCCTATGTTCTCCTCTAGGAGTTTGATAGTTTCTGGTCTTACATTTAGATCTTTAATCCATTTTGAGTTTATTTTTGTGTATGGTGTTAGAAAGTGTTCTAGTTTAAAAATAAAATATTTTTGACACTTAATTTCCATTTAGATCTTTTAAGATGAATTCTATTTGGGAATTATTCTTATCTTACAAAGATAAATTAACAGCAGAATATCAATTTTGTCACCTCAAAATTTCATAAGGAAGAAAAGTTCCAAAATCTCATTCAACAAAATTCATGAAAAATCATATTTGGTATAGGAAGACTGTTTCATGGTTATTCAAGAATGTGACTAAGAAAGGATTAAAGAAAAGTGAAGTAGCAAAAACATCTTATTCTCTACTCTCCCATAAGGAAGAGGAAGGGTTTGTCTCACAAGAAAGAATTGCAGTATGACTGTTACAAGAGTCATGTTTCACCTGCTCTATTGAGTAATTAATGTTCCTATATTGTCATGTCTTTGTGTTACATTTTCATGGTAAGGCTTTGATATTAAATTACAGTGAAAATAATTGACTTGAGACAAAATTTCAGGTTTATTTATTTATTGCTGCAGATATTTGGATTTTATTTTTTAAATGTTAATGATAAAGGGTTGTAAGTTCAACATTATAAAGTCAGGTATACATTATAATAAAATGAACTAAATTAATTAGCAATATGCACAGTTCAGTTTAGTTCGGTTCAGTCGCTCAGTCGTGTCCAACTCTTTGCGACCCCATGGACTGCAGCACACCAGACCTCCCTGTCCATCACCAACTCCTGGAGTTTACTCAAACTCATGTCCATTGAGTCAGTGATGCCATCCAACCATCTCATCCTCTGTTGTCCCCTTGTCCTCTCGCCCTCAATCTTTCCCAGCATCAAGGTCTTTTCAAATGAGTCAGTTCTTCACATCAGGTGACCAAAGTATTGGGAGTTTCAGCTTCAACATCAGTCCTTCCATTGAATATTCAGGACTGATTTGCAATATGCACAATATGACTTATTCTTTGATCCTGGTCTTTAGAATTCATATTATGTTTATCGATTTATATCTTACAGGTTTTTTATTTGAATACAGTTGAAAACAGGCTTCCCTGATGGTTCAGCTGGTAAAGAATCCACAATGCTGGAGACCTGGGTTCAATCCTTGGGTTGGGAAGATGCCCTGGAGAAGGGAACGGCTACCCACTCCAATATTCTGGCCTGGAGAATTCCACAGACTGTATAGTCCATGGGGTCACAAAGAATTGGACACAACTGAGTGACTTTCCCTTTCACTTTTCACAGTCAAAAGCAAAGCTATAATGAAAAGCACTATGTTTGGTGTTTTTAAATATTTATTTATTTATTTGACTCTGTGAGGTCTTAACTGCCTGACAGCATGTGGAATCTTACTTCCACTACCAGGGATCAAACCTGTGTCTCCTGCACTGGAAAGCAGATTCTCAACCATTGGACCATCAGAGAAGTTCCTAGCATCAGGTTTTATAATCGGGATGAGATTTCTCAATAGGCAGAGGGAAGGAATGTGACTGATTCATCTTTTACTGTCTTAAATGTGTATAAGAAAATCACTTTATATTGACACACTTCATTATTAAAATCAGCATTATAAACTAGGCATTGTAATCCCTAATTTTCATAGTAGAGAGTCAAGATTTAAATATTTACAAGAATTGCATTGATATAGATTTATGGTACTCCAGTTCAGTTCAGTTCAATTCAGTCACTCAGTCGTGTCCGACTCTTTGCAATCCCATGGACTGCAGCATGCCAGGTTTCCCTGTCCAGCACCAACTCCCGAAGCTTACTCAAATTCATGTCCATCAAGTTGGTGACACCATCCAACCATCTCATCCTCATAATCAGTCCTGAATATTCACAGGAAGGACTGATACTGAAGCTGAAACTCCAATACTTTGGGCACCTGATATGAAGAATTGACTCACTGGAAAAGACCCTGATGCTGGGAAAGATTGAAGACAGGAGGAGAAGGGGATGACAAAGGATGAGATGGTACTCCAAATAAACATCAAATTTGGGTTGCAGGCTAAGAGAGCTTATGTCATACTACTTATGTCAGCTTCAGGAAAACATGGTAGATTTCCAAAATCTAGCCCCTGCTCATCACAACTAGAGAAAGCCCATCTTCAGCAACAAAGACCCAGTGCAGCCAAAAATAAATAAATATTTTTTTTCTAATCTTTCAAAGTAAGTAAAAAAAAAATCATCAACTGTGTTTGGCTTTAGAAGTATGGACTAAGGATAGAGGGAGGTCTTTCACTTGTCACATTTTTCTCATATTATTGAACATAAAAATACTATTTTTATAACTTGGAGAAAAGTAGTAAAACAAAGGGGATAAAATCATATTTGTATTTTAGTTGATGAAAACAGGACTATTAATCATTAATATCTAGCTAATTGTATATTCATTAAATTATTAACATAACTGTTCATTCGTATTGATTCCTGCTGATTGATAATAATAAATAATGGGCTGTAGTCATTGTGATTCACCATTTAGTAATTCATATAACTCACCCACTAGACAGTTTCTCTATCTAGTGGTTCAAAGCCATTTGCTGATAGCATACATTAAAAATGTGTATGTTTATAAAATAAATGTGTAAAATTTGTAAGCATTCTGTAATCTATATAACTGTTAAATGAAAATATGGAGGCAATTGACCAATACATTCAAACAATAAAAAGTCCCTTTGAGAACAGGGATATTTTCTAACACATGGGAAGTCTGTGAGTCATTGGGTGTGGGCATTACCAGGTTTTGTAATATATATATATATATATAACAAATGTGAGTTTAAATCAATTGAGACCAGTTAATCTTATCCTTAAGTAACAGAACATGACTATATCCAACTAACCTTCCAGAAACACACTGTATTCCAACGTCTAATTGAAATTATTTCTTTCAGCACTCAAATTCATTTTTCCCATTGAGAGAAATAGGCTATAATATTAATATAAAACAAAACCCCCAAGTAATTTAGAACAGTAGAATTAAACTTCCTACTGAGCCTCCTCCAGAACCTCAGAAGCTATGTTATGATGTAAGAAATTGAGATGAGTTGCAAAGTGTATAGTCATACTTCCCAAGGCTGCTCATCTGAGTTGAACCTGTAAAATAGCCTAGTGGCCATCACTTGATAAATGGCATATGTAATCCAAAGTAATAGACTGTTAAGAGCTTCAAATGAAAGAGGAAGAAAAAGCATAAAAGGTGAAAAGAAATTCACATGGTCAAGGTATAAATACATAAACTACATGCCCGGCTCTGTGTGCAATGTGTCTCCTTTTCAGTTCAGTCTTGTCCGACTCTTTGCAACCCATAGAATGTAGCCTGCCAGGCCCCTCTGTTCATGGGATTCTCCAGGCAAGAATACTGGAGTGGGTTGCCATTTCCTTCTCCAGGGGATCTTCCTGATCCAGGAATCAAACCCAGGTCTCCCTCACTGAAGCCACCGGCGGCTACCATCTGAGCCACCGGGGAAGCCCCCTTTTCCGTTAACAAATGTATAATAGTAAAGATCAAAGTGGTTTGGAAGTGCAGAGGTGAGCTCCACAGATGTCAAGGAAAAATTTAAGGATAAGTGAGGTCTGGAAGAAAGCACAGAAATTTATCCACCAAAATATTAATAAAACAATAATTTTTAAGCCCATCATATTTCCACAAGTTCTGTCTGTTTTGTTGATGCTTAAAACGTCTTCATTTCCCCATTTCGTTGTTTCCTGGAGTGAGGAGACTGACTGTTGTCTGGTAAACTCCCTTGTCCTCCTTATGCAACAAAGGAAATCTTGACATAAACACACAGCCACAGAACAAGTTAATTGTCTTAGGGTTGAGCTTCCTAAAACACAGATCAGGTATTCCTCCTTCATTTTCTTTGGCTCTTATCAACAAAGCACTCTGGGACTCAGAAACTAAGGACAGAGACAGGGAGGAGGAGAGGAGGAGGAAGAAAGAGACAGTGAGGAGGAGAGGAAAGGACGAAAGAGAAAAGAGAAAGAATGAATTCATCCACATCACCAGCATCACAAAGCACAGGTAAGATTTGCAACTATTCCTTTTCCTTCAGTCTTTCCTGGTTGTTCAGTGGTAAAGAATCTGCCTGCCAATGCAGGAGTCACAGGAGACATGGGTTCAATCTCAGGGCTGGGAAGACTGGAGGAGGAAATGGCAACCTACTCCAGTATTCTGGCCTGGAAAATCCCATGGATACAGGGGCCTGGTGGGCTATGGTCCATGGGGTCGCAAAGAGTAGGACATGATTGAGCACGCATGTACTTTTCTTTCATAGATTTTTCATGAAAGAGGTGATAAACATTCTGGGGACAGGACAATAAATTTAAGAATGAGTGAGATCTGGAAGAAAGTGGAGAAATTTTATCCATCAAAATAAAATGATATTTTTAAAGCCCTTCATATCTCTCCAAGGTCAGTTTGTTTTGTTGATACTTAAAATGTCATCATTTCTCCATTTTGTTATCTCCTGGAGTGAGGAGACTGACTTGTTGCCCAGTAAATGCCAGTGGAGTAAGAGTGGAGAGACAGAGAATGAAAGACGAGGAAATAAAAGAGGATGGTTAGAAGGCTAGACGTTCTTCTGGAGAGATTGCAGGAGACTGAGTTCAGAGAGAGCTACCAGACTACTGCCTTTTCCATTCAGTGCTTCTCTAAGTGTGGTCCCCAGGCCAACAGCATTCTCAGCTCCTGGAAACTTATGGGTTCCATACCAGCCCTACTGAATTTTTAATTCTGGAGGTGAGACCCCATGATCTGTTTTAGCCAACCTTTCCAATGATTTTGATGCATGCTGAAGTGTGGAATTACTCAGTATAGGTAATAAAAGTGGAAGAAAATAAGCAGGGTCGAATATGAATTTCTTTTATCTCTTTTGTAGCTCTTTAGGGAAGACTGACCACGTGTATGTCTTTCTTTCTACAGAGAGAAGATGCTTCTCTTCCCAGCTGTTCTTGTGGGCCATTGCTGGCACTGCCATCCTGCTCCTGAGTGCCTGTTTTATCACCAGATGTGTTGGTGAGTTCTGAGGGTCACATTCAAGCTGCCTAGTGAACATTAGGAGTGAATTCTTCCTTGTTGGCTGTGGGTTCTCTTCTCCCACAAAGGGTATTTCCATTTCCCTGGTGACTCAGATGGTAAAGAGTCTGCCTGTGATGCAGGAGATGTGGGTACTATTCCTGGGTCAGGAAGATCCCCTGGAGAGGGAACTGGCAACCCACTCCTGTATTCTTGCCTGGGAAATCCCATGGACAGAGGAGCCTGGCAGTTTACAAACCATGGGGTTGCAAAGAGTCAGACACGACTGAGTGACTGATGCTTTCCCCCATATTTATCTCCAGGTTACTCCTCAAGCCAGAAACCCCAACCAGCATAAAACTGGTACTAAGTTTCAGTGATCTGTGAAACGTTCTTCATGATACACACTTGTTACCTCCTTAGTGGCCCTGAGTCCACCCTCTCTGTAATCTTGTCATTAGTGTAAACCTCTCTGAGATCCTAGCCAGAGGCACAGGAAGTCACTTCTTGGAAAGAAGTGTTGAGAGGTTAGACTTGGCAAAAGAGAGAGTCTTAGGTATTTTGTATTGTTCTTGTGGGGCCTTCCCTGGTGGCTCAGTGGTAAAGAATCTGCTGGCAATGCAGGAGACGTGGGTTGGATCCCTGTGTTGGGAAGATCCTCTGGAAAAGGGAATGGCTATCCACTCCATTCTTGCCTGAAGAATCCCATGGACAGAGGAGCCTGGCAGGCCATAGTCCATTGCAAAAAGCTTGACATGACTTAGCAACTAAACAACAGCAACAAAAGAGAATCCAAACACATTTATTATATATATTTAACAGATCATGGTATCTGGTCCCATTACTTCGTGGGAAATAGATGGGGAAACAGTGGAAGCAGTGTCAGACTTTGTTTTGGGGGGCTTCAAAATCACTGTGGATGGTGATTGCAGCCATGAAATTAAAAGACACTTACTCCTTGGAAGGAAACTTATGACCAACCTAGATAGCATATTAAAAAGCAGAGACATTACTTTGCCAACAAAGGTCCATCTAGTCAAACCTATGGTTTTTCCAGTGGTCATGTATGGATGTGAGTTGGACTCTGAAGAAAGCTGAGCACCAAAAAATTGATGCTTTTGAACTGTGGTGTTGGAGAAGACTCTTAAGAGTCCCTTGGACTGCAAGGAGATCCAACCAGTCCATTCTAAAGGATATCAGTCCTGGGTGTTCATTGGAAGGACTGATGCTGAAGCTGAAACTCCAATATTTTGGCCACCTCATGCGAAGAGTTGACTCATCGGAAAAGACCCTGACTCTGGGAGGGATTGGGGGCAGGAGGAGAAGGGGACGACAGAGGATGAGATGGCTGGTTGGCATCACCAACTCAATGGACATGAGTTTGAGGAAATTCTGGGAGTTGGTGATGGGCAGGGCCTGGCGTGCTGTGATTCATGGGGTCGCAAAGAGTTGGACATGGCTGAGCAACTGAACTGAACTGAACTAAACTGAACTCATTGTTGAGTTTATTTTTCCAGATTATGCACACACTACTAGGAATAGATCCAGGTAAAATATACAAGCTGCTAAATTGAATTTGAATTTGGCAATTTATATGATCAGTGGCCATTCCAATAATTCATTCATTTAACATTACTGAAACCAATCTTCTGCATTAGCATCATCATGTTGTTAACGAAGTTCATTCAATAAATAGATAATTCATTTTCATCTTAGACTAGAGCTTATTGCTTAGGACTTACCAAGCATATTGTATCATTAGTAAGACAGCTATATTTAGATACATAATTTCTACAGGTAAATTCATATGGGTGTCTTTCTTTGGTAAGAAATTGACTGAGAAGAATATTTTGTTTGTGGAATCAAGGAAAACATTAACATTTCAAAAATATTTGCCTTTTAAAATGCATTCTACCAGGTAGGTGAGGAAAAAAGTTTTCTTCTACTCTTCTGTCTCAGCTAGGGCTTTGTTACAAGAAGAAAAAAAAAACCATACAAATGTATTTAATGTGAGTTTCACATTTGTTTTCTTTGGGTCTTCGAACCTGAAATAAAGTACATTTATCTTCATAAATCAGGAAAAGCATGAAATGTGAATTCTCTCTTCTTTGAGTAAGCAAACCTCAGTTCCTATCCATGTTGAAGTAAAAGTAGATAGTAAGGGAATATCATAACTGCTGGTACTTTTATAACTATAAGAAAAAAATCTAATGTATTTGTAAAAAAAATTTTTAATTGGAGAATAATTGCTTTACAATGTTATGCTAGTTTCTGCCATATGACAATGTGAATCAGACATAAATATACATATGCCCCCTCCCTCTTGAGTCTCCCTCCCACCCCATCCCACCCCTCTAGCTTATCACAGCCACTGGGTTGAAATCCCTGCATCATACAGCAAATTCCCACTAGCAATCTATTTTATATATGGTAATGTATCTTTTTCTCAATTCATCCCACCCTCTCTCTCCCAGACTGTGTCCTCAAGCCTGTTCCCTATGTCTGTGTCTCTATTCCTGCCCTGCAGATAGGTTCATCAGTGTCAGATAAAATGTACTTTTACTAAAGTGAAAGTGAAGTCGCTTAGTTGTGTCCAACTCTTTGCAACCCCATGGACTGTAGCCTACCAGGCTCCTCCATCCATGGGCTTCTCCAGGCAAGAATACTGGAGTGGGTTGCCATTTCCTTCTCCAGGGGAGCTTCCCGACACAGGGATCGGTCCCGGGTCTCCCACACTGCAGGCAGATGCTTTACCCTCTGAGCCACCAGGGAAGCTTTTATTAAGGGTAATGAATATTAGTTGTGCCCCTTTACCTTACAGTGACATATGGCATCTTTCAACTATGTGATGAGAAAAAGTTCCAGCCACCTGGGGATTCCATGGAACTCTCCTGCTATAATGATGGATCAGGTATGTGTGCTGTGCTTAGTCGCTCAGTCGTGTCTGACTCTTTGTGACCCTATGTAGTACACCAGGCTCTTCTGTCCATGGGGATTCTCCAAAATACTGGTGTGGGTTTCCATGCCCTCCTCCAGGGATCTTCCCAACCCAGAGATCAAACCCAGATCTCCCACAGGTGGATTATTTACCATCTGAGCCAGTAGGGAAGCCCAATGGGTCAGGTATAATAGACCTCACACTTGAACATCTCAATTTACATAGCAACATTTTCTGGCTTTAGATTGATTTGGGGATAAGTAAAATAATCAAGTTGGGTCCTGTTTTTCAAAAGCAAAATGCAAAATCTTGCCTGTACTGTCAAAGAATAATGAGAAGTTGGAAGACAAGAATAAAACTTTGAAAGTGCAATTTGTGTTCAAGCAGGAAACTTTGGGAACATTATAGCAAACCTTTAGAATAAATGTGAGGTGTATGGCTTAAGAGTCAGTCTAGAAGTTGAAGGTGTTATTCCCAGAAGTGTGCTTTTTATTTTCATCCATCACCTGCTTCCAAAATGAAGTGAAGAAGGAAAAAACATGTAGGAAGGAAACTTGAAAATATCTCAGAAATATGCTCCCTATACTCTTCCATATTGTCCTGGTCCAAGTCTCAGCAAAATGCTACTTGACAATGGAAAGTGACTTCCTTCTCTGAGCTATGATTTCCTCACCATTAAATGAAGAGGGATTGGGCTATTTATTTTTAATAAACTTCATAGGCTGAAATTCTATAGTTTTAAGAACTGTAGGACAACTGGTTTGGAGATTCTGTTGAGGGTATATTGTTTGGAAAACATGAGAGACAGTTGCTTAGTGGTCACTCAGATAAAATACATAATTTTTCTCTGAACTTGGTAGTCTATGAACAGATAATAGGATCCCATGTCAATAGCATAACTGAGGAAGATTGTATACATCAGGGGTTCCCAATCTCTTTGGGGATAAGCAAAGTAATTGAGTTGAGTCCTGTTTTTCAAAAGTAAAATGCAAAATCTTGCCTGTCAGATAATAATGAGAATTTGGTAAGAGGACAAGAATAAAACTTTGGAAGTGCAATTAGCATTCAAACAGGAAACTTTGGGGATGTTACAGCAAACCTTTAGAATAAATGTGTACCAGTCCAAAGACCAGTACCTCCTGTCAGATCAACAGTGGCATTAGATTAGAAATAAAGTGTACAATATAAATGCAATGCACTTGAATCATCCTGAAACCAGCTTCCCCACCTGCTCCATGAAAAATTGTCTTCCACAAAACCTGTCCCTGGTGCCAAATGGTTGGAGACCACTTTTATACGATTGTGTTAATATTTATTGGCACTGACATCTAGAAAGTAAGGATTATGTCTTGAAAGACAAGAACATTGCTGTTTGTGTTTGTTGACTGAGGAATTACCTAAAGTCTTGGATAGTAAGATGTGGAGTATGAACAAGGGGTTCCAAGGCTTCTGACTCTAAGTGAAGAACTTATCAGCTCAGAGGAAGGTTTCTATCATCTTACCCGGTTCATGTGAGACTCTCACAGAAATTTCTCTCCTTCTAGGTTCAGTCAAGAATTGCTGTCCATTGAAGTGGGTCCATTTTCAATCCAGCTGCTACTTCTTTTCTGTTAACATCATGTCCTGGACAGCAAGTCTAAAAAACTGCTCGAGCATGGGCGCTCACCTGGTGGTTATCAACACGCAGGAGGAGCAGGTAGTTGAGTACAGCATCCTCCAGTGTAGTGAAACATCCTTCACAGGACCCATCTCCCTTTACCCCATACATGCTTGTGTATAGTATTTGACCCACAATTTCTATGTGTCACATGAATTTACTGAAATACATGCTGTTCTTAACTTTTCTGGAAGTCATTACCAACTTTATTTTCTTTACTAGAAGAAACCAGGATAAAAAGAAATTTTCATGTTTAATTCCTTTATTAGGAAGGCAGGATAAAAAGAGGGCTGGGACTTCATTTTATTTATTATTTATTAATTTGTAATTATTATTACCTAAAAGATGATGCTGTGAAAGTGCTGCACTCAATATGCCAGCAAATTTGGAAAACTCAGCAGTGGCCACAGGACTGGAAAAGGTCCGTTTTCATTCCAATTCCGAAGAAAGGCAATGCTAAGGAATGCTCAAACTACTGCACAATTGCACTCATCTCACACGCTAGTAAAGTAATGCTCAAAATTCTCCAAGCCAGGCTTCAACAAAACATGAACCGTGAACTTCCAGATGTTCGAGCTGCATTTAGAAAAGGCAGAGGAACCAGAGATCAAATTGCCAACATCCATTGCATCATCGAAAAAGCAAGAGAGTTGCAGAAACACATCTATTTCTGCTTTATTGACTATGCCAAAGCCTTTGACTGTGTGGATCACAATAAACTGTGGAAAATTATTCAAGAGATGGGAATACCAGACCACCTGACCTGCCTCTTGAGAAACCTGTATGAAGGTCAGAAAGCAACAGTTAGAACTGGACATGGAACAACAGACTGGTTCCAAATAGGAAAAGGAATACATTAAGGCTGTATATTGTCACCCTGCTTATTTAACTTATATGCAGAGTACATCATGAGAAACACTGGGCTGGATAAAGCACAAGCTGGAGTGAAAATTGCCAGGAGAAATAGCAATAACCTCAGATATGCAAATGACACCACCCTTATGGCAGAAAGTGAAGAAGAACTAAAGAGCCTCTTGATGAAAGTGAAAGAGGAGAGTGAAAAAGTTGGCTTAAAGCTCAACATTCAGAAAACCAACATCATGGCATCCGGTCCCATCACTTCATGGCAAATAGATGGGGAAACAGTGGAAACAGTGGCAGACTTTATTTTGGGAGGCTCCAAAATCACTGCAGATGGTGACTGCAGCCATGAGATTAAAAGATGCTTAGTCCTTAGAAAGAAAGTTAGGACCAACTTAGACAGCATATTAAAAAGCAGAGACATTACTTTGCCAACAAAGGTCCATCTAGTCAAACCTATGGTTTTTCTGGTAGTCATGTATGGATGTGAGAGTTGGACTATAAAGAAAGCTGAGAGCTGAAGAATTGATGCTTTTGAACTGTGGTGTTGGAGAAGACTCTTGAGAGTCTCTTGGACTGCAAGGAGATCCAACTAGTCCATCCTAAAGGAAATCAGTCCGGAATATTCATTGAAAGGACTGATGTTGAAGCTGAAACTTCAATACTTTGGCCATCTGATGCGAAGAGCTGATTCATTCCCTGATGTTGGGAAAGATAGAGGGCAGGAGGAGAAGGGGACGACAGAAGATGAGATGATTGGATGGCATCACTGACTCAATGGACATGAGTTTGAGTAAACTCTGGAAGTTGGTGATGGACAGGGAAGCCTGGTGTGCTGTACAGCCCATGGGGTCACAAAGAGTCGGACATGACCAAGTAACTGAACTGAACTGAATTATTACTTTATTTATTCATTTTTAGTTTATATTTTATATATTTTATTTTATTTTTATTTTTATTTTATTTATTCATTATTTTTATGGAGCATAATTGCTTTACAATGTTGTGTTAGTTTCTGCTGTACAACCAGATGAATCAGCCATATGTATATATGTATCCGCTCCCTCTTGAACCTCCCTCCCACCCCCCGTCCCACCCCTCTAGGTCATCACAGAGCACTGAGCTGAGCTCCCTGTGCTATATAGCAGCTTCCAACTAACTATTTATTTTACACACGATGGGGTACATCTGGGGACCTCATTTTAGAATTACCAGTGTGTTTAGAAACATGTGAAAGAGGGTAAGCAGAAGTTGTCCATTATATTTAAGGTAAGATTTATAATGTTTTGTGCTACCCATAACCATAGATAATCTTTGCATGAGTTATTGAGAAGCTTCTCTGTCAAAAGCTCCTTTTCACTGGCACAATTTTATGTTACCTATGCTTTACCAAAATAAATCCTCTATAATCTTACCATTTCAGGCTCATTTTTCTATCATCTCCAGTCCAAATCCTACTTCTCTCTTAATACCTTCAATTACCTTCAACATTTGTTTGGAATTGGAATAAATGATCTCCTCTTTTGTTGTGTGTATCTTCCATAGGAATTCCTTCACCATGCAAAACCTAGAAACAAAGAGTTTTATATTGGACTGACAGACCAGGTGGTTGAGGGTCAGTGGAAATGGGTAGATGGTACACCTCTCACAAAGTCTCTGAGGTAATTTCCTTCTTGTAGTAGAATTATTGGTTGTTGTTTAGTCGCTCCGTTGTGCCCAACTCTTTTGAGACCCCATGGGCTGTAGCCTGCCAGGTTCCTCTGTTCATGGGATTTTCCAAGCAAGAATACTGGAGCAAGTTGCCATTTCCTTCTTCAGGAAATCTTCCTGACCCAGGGATTAAATCTGTGTCTCCTTCATTGGCAGGTGGAGTCTTTACCACTGAGCCACCTGGGAAGCCCAGTAGAATTATAACACTAGCCCAAACTGTAAAGTTAGACCACTGTTGAGGAGAGTCCTCAGAACCTCCTTCTGGTCCAGAAGGTATATTCATGTCCATTCTTGGTGATATTAAATGCAAAAATAAAAAGAGCTGATATATAAGACAGAAAAGAGAAGCACAAGGATCTGCTGCCTCCATCTCCTAGAATTACCTCAGAATAAAAAGGGAAATAACAGACAAAATGAGAAGAGGCTTAAAACTGAACGCTAATTCATGGGAAATGCAGGGGAGACAAAGAGTAGAATTTGGAGTCTTATGCCCCCAAACTGTAGTCAATGAGACAAAAACAATGATTGAGAAAAACAACAGATTCTTTTCTTAGAGCTTTGAATTTTAAAAAATTAATTATTCTTGGCTACACTGGGTCTTCGTTGCTTTGTGAGGGCTTTCTCTAGATGCAGGGGCTACTCTTCATTTCAGTGCACGGACTTCTCATTGTGGTGGCTCCCTTGTGGAGGAGCACAGGCTCCAGAGTGCGTGGACTTGGGTAGCTGCGGCCCACAGGCTGAGAAGTTGTGGCTCTCGAGCTCTAGAGGGCTTCGGCTCAGTAGTTGTCATGCACAGGCTTAGGCGCTCCGTGGCACGTAGGATCTTCCCAGATCATGGACTGAACCTGTGTCCCCTGCATTGGTAGGTGAATTCTTATCCACCATGCCGCAAGGGAAGTCTGAGACAACAGATTCCTATGGACTAAAAGTAAGATGCTCTGACCCTTTAAAACATTGTTCTGTGGCCCCAGTGAAGTATGCACCTCAGTGAATACAAACTCTATAGGATAATGGGAGCTAAACACGATGTGAGTTGTGTGCGTGAAGGAAACAAATCCACCAGGATATCCCTCTTTCCCCTAACATCTCCGTTTTGGGTCTAAAGCCATGAGCGACCACAGCAGAATAGAAAGTCAGAAAGGTCCCATTTAACTTCACTATTCACAAACTCTATGACTTAGAGAAATGGTTTAGCTCTTCTGAGATTCTTTTGCTTCATCAATAAAGTGGGGATTATAATATCTGTTTCATAAAATTGTTGTAAGGTCAAACACGAATGTATTTTGCCTAGTTTATAGGGCTTCCCAGGTGGTGCTAATGGTAAAGAACCAACTTGCCCAATGCAGGAGAGGTAAGAGAGTTAGCTTCAGTCCCTGGGTAGGGAAAATGCCCTGCAGCAGGAAATGCAACCCACTCCAGTATTCTTGCCTGGAGAATCCCATGGAGAGAGGAGCCTGGTGAGCTACATACAGTCCATAAGGTCACAAAGAGTCAGACATGAATAAAGCAACTTAGCATGCACACATAAGTCACCTTGCCTCATGTAAATCTCCCCTGTCGCTCTCTTTCAGCTTCTGGGATGCAGGGGAGCCCAACAACCTGGTTACCTTGGAGGACTGCGCCACCATAAGGGACTCCTCAAATCCAAGGCAAAACTGGAATGATGTGCCCTGTTTCTCCAGTATGTTTCGGATTTGCGAAATGCCAGAAAGAAAGATTTGAGAAAAGAAAAATCTTCAAGACACGAGGCACAACCCTAAAATGTATAAATGGAAAAGAACAAGCGATAATCATAACCACACAACTCCAATGTGAGAAAAGCAGGCATTGCACTTTTTTAGGACTTGATAAATGTTTTCTGCTTTGATATAAAAATAAGTCATTTTGAAGGTATAATTCATGGTGTGCATTTTTGTCTACATCGGTCTTGGGATTTCTCAGACAAGCTTCTCTAGCAATGCTGCGAGAAGGGCTATTCCTTTTTCCTTTCGGTATAAATGCTTCATTTATGAGTATTTATGTGAAAGTACAGGGACACAAACAAGCACCAAATCCAGCAAAGAAGAGAATTTTGGAAAGTGTCTTAAACAGTTCAAATTCAGTCTCTGTGTCATGTCTTCTTTATAGTTCCTGAAAAATCTGTCTTCTTGATTTCATTTTGTTTTCTACCCCCTACCCAAGCATATCACTTCACTGTGTTCTTCTCTATAATGAGTAGGAAACTTTTCAAGTCATGAACATATTCCTAATTAAAAGACTGGTGTGAGAGGGATGGGATGGGGAGGGAGGAGGGAGAGGGATTCAGGATGGGGAACACATGTACACCCATGGCGGATTCAAGTCAATGTATGGCAAAACCAATACAATGTTGTAAAGTAAAATAAATAAATAATTTTTAAAAAAATAAATAAATAAAAGACTGGTGTGGACTTTCCAGCCAAAGGCATTTACTTTGCCTTCTTATTAATAGAAAGGCCATACTAACCTTCAGCTCCAAAGAGACTGTCATCCAGGGACTTCCCTACTGGTTCAGTGGCTGGGACTTCACCGTCCAATGCAGAGGATTCAGGTTCAATCCCTGGTCAGGGAGCAGGAATCCCATATGCCTCATGGCCAACCAACCAAGACATAAAAAGCAGGAGCAATATAAATTATTCTAAGAGAACAATCGATTTCACCCTTTCCTGTCACAAGCCTGTCCATTTTTTGCATAATAGTCTATCAGTGGTCTTCCCTGGTAGCTCAGCTGATAAAGAATCTACCAGCAAGAGACCCCAGTTCCATTCCTGGGTCAGGAAGTTCCCTGGAGAAGGGATAGGCTATCCACTCCAGTGTTCTTGGGCTTCCCTGGTAGCTCAGATGGTAAAGAATCTGCCTGCAAATGCAGGAGATCTGGATTTGATCCCTGGGTTGGGAAGATCCCCTGGAGGAGGGCATGGCAACCCACTCCAGTATTCTTGCCTGGAGAATCCCCATGGACAGAGGGGCCTGGTGGGCCACAGTCCACGAGGTCATAAAGAGTTGTACACGACTGAACAACTAAGCACAGCACAGTCTGTCATTACTGATAAGGTTATTCAAGAATATGTAAGTGACACAGCAGCTTTTATAAGCATATTTCTTGCACACAGCACCATAAATAGACCCTCAAAATCATACATTGGAATTAATGTATACACATTGAATGGGAAAATTCAACTGAATAAATGAATATAATATATTAGCTTTCTTTACAAATGTTTTTTTCTCATAGGCGTGACAATCTGTGTTTTTGAAATCAATATGCCTTTAAAACAAAAGTTATTCAACCTGAAAGAAAGTTAATAAATATATCTTCAACTTTCTAATTTTTTCCATATCATAAACATCAAATGAGGAAACATTTAAAAATATGTGGAAATGTGTTTGTTCATGGCTTTTATACTTCAGATGGCTATAATATTTTAAATTTTATTTTGATATTGAAAGACACATAAAAATATTAATGCATATATTTCACTATTTACAAGTTAAGTTATGCAACTAACTGCCTTCAAAGTTTGGCAAAAAAAAAATTGTTAAGATTTTATTAGAGTAAAGATCATTAGAACCTAAATTATTTATCAGAAAAATTCTTCTTTGAGAAGCAGATCATCCAGTTGAAATTGTTTTTAAATATCATATTTTATAAATGGGGTTATATAAATACTTAGGCACCAGAAAACCCAAAAAGTCACAAAAAATAAAGAGTAGTCAGTCATTCATATTCCCAAGACCATGTTCTCCAAATAAACCACTCTTACAATTTAAATACTATTACCACTTGGGCCCCTAATTTTTTAAAAAAGAAAAATCCCTTTACTACATCGTTTAAAAATGTTACCTATTTATTATTAAAAATTTTTACAGAGCAACAATTGTATAAAGATGAAAGTAAAAAAAAGAATTGAACTCCAAGTTGATATAGGTAAGATTGATAGGAATCATACAGCAATGATGTATGAAATTTCAATTTAAATTTCTTTTAAAGTATGAATTTAATTTTACTTAAATTTACCAAACAAAAAAAATGGAAGTGAAATTAAAGAATTTTTGAAATTCAAGAATTTTATAGGCCTTATGCTGCTGCTGCTTAGCTGCTTCAGTTGTGTCCAACTCCATGAGACCCTAGGGACTGAAGCCTACCCAGCTCCTCTGTGCATGGGATTCTCTAGACAAGAGTACTGGAATGGATTGCCATGCCCTCCTCCAGGTTATAGGCCTTATAGATAACCACAAAAATTTTTTTCCTAAAGGGTCCCTAACAGAAAAATAATAAGGAATCATTTAAAATGTTCTCCTTACTCTTCTTTTTTAAATTGGAGGATAATTGCTTTACAATGTTGTGTTAATCTCTGCTGTACAATAACATGAATCAGCTATACGTGTATCCTCCTTCTTGAGCCTCCCTCCCGCTCCCACACGCATCCCACCCCTCTAGGCTGTCATAAGAGTACCCAGCTGAGCTCCCTGTGCTACCCAGCAGCTTCCTACTAGATATCCACTTTACACATGGTAGTATAGAGATGTCAGTGCAAATCTCTCAATTCATCCCACCTTCTCTTTCCCCCTGCTGTGTCTACAAGTTCCTTCTCTATGTCTGCATCTCTATTCCTGCCCTGCAAATAGCTTCATCAGTACCATCCTTCTAGATTCTGTATATATGCATTAAGATATAATATATGTGTTTCTCTTTCTGACTTACTTCTCTCCTCTTGCTCTTTCATTTCTTCCTCCTCCCACCCTGCTGTCCTTTTCCTTTCTCAACAATATAGCCCCCAAATCATTCAGGTGGGGCAGACTTAAGGAGCTTTTACATGTGCACATGTGGATGCATGCAAGGAGACATAACCATATGTGGATATACATATAAGGAATCAGTAATCATAGTTATGCTGAAGGGGTATTTAGAGGTTTGGAGTGGAAGAGAGAGTCACCTTATAGTTTTAATAATGTTTTTTACTGTTTGCCTTTTTAACACATATACATTACTTTTTCAAAGATAAAAAATGTTTAGATTTTCTTTTTAAAGACTTTCTTGATGTGGACCTTTTTTTAAAGTCTTATTGAATTTGTTACAATATTGCTTCTGTTCCACGGTTTGGTTTTTTGGCCATGAGTCATGGGAGATCTTACCTTCCCAACCAGGGATCAAACCAGCACCTACTGCATTGGAAGGTGAAGTCTTAACCAATGGACTGCCAGGGAAGTCTCCAAAAAGTGCTTAGGTTTTTTAAATGCTTCAGACTTCTAGGACATTCTATTACAATGTCCTTAAGAAAGTAGCATTTATTTTTATGAAATTACTATTAGCTGTTTTTAAAAAAATTGTGAAGACTATATATGAGAGGTGCCATGAGAACTGAGAATTGACTGAAAGGGACCAAGGGTGGAAACAGGGAGATCAATCAGAAGGCCATTATAATAATCCAGGTAAACAGATGTTTACTGGTCCGGTGGAAGCCATGGAGAGAATGAAAAATGATCCGAATTGGGAGAAAAAGATTAGGGTATAGATATAGACATAGACTTATAAAATTACAAAGAGGTCACATTTTATTGACAACTGAATCTTTAAATACAGTTTTATACAAATGAAGAATGGATAATATTAACTATCCAAAGTCTATTTCAACATTTTACAGATTTTATTTTCATTTATTTTTATTAGTTGGAAGCTAATTACTTCACAACATTTCAGTGGGTTTTGTCATACATTGACATGAATCAGCCATGGAGTTACATGTACTCCCCATCCCGATCCTCCCTCCCACCTCCCTCTCCACCCGATTCCTCTGGGTCTTCCCAGTGCACCAGGCCCGAGCACTTGTCTCATGCATCCCACCTGGGCTGGTGATCTGTTTCACCATAGATAATATACATGTTTCAATGCTGTTCTCTTGAAACATCCCACCCTCGCCTTCTCCCAGAGTCCACAAGTCTGTTCTATACATCTGAGTCTCTTTTTCTGTTTTGCATATAGGGTTATCGTTACCATCTTTCTAAATTCCATATATATGTGTTAGTATACTGTAATGGTCTTTATCTTTCTGGCTTACTTCGCTCTGTATAATGGGCTCCAGTTTCATCCATCTCATTAGAACTGATTCAAATGAATTCTTTTTAATGGCTGAGTAATATTCCATGGTGTATATGTACCACAGCTTCCTCATCCATTCGTCTGCTGATGGGCATCTAGGTTGCTTCCATGTCCTGGCTATTATAAACAGTGCTGCGATGAACATTGGGGTGCACGTGTCTCTTTCAGATCTGGTTTCCTTGGTGTGTATGCCCAGAAGTGGGATTGCTGGGTCATATGGCAGTTCTATTTCCAGCTTTTTAAGAAATCTCCACACTGTTTTCCATAGTGGCTGTACTAATTTGCATTCCCACCAACAGTGTAAGAGGGTTCCCTTTTCTCCACACCCTCTCCAGCATTTATTGCTTGTAGACTTTTGGATAGCAGCCATCCTGACTGGCGTGTAATGGTACCTCATTGTGGTTTTGATTTGCATTTCTCTGATAATGAGTGATGTTGAGCATCTTTTCATGTGTTTGTTAGCCATCTGTATGTCTTCCTTGGAGAAATGTCTGTTTAGTTCTTTGGCCCATTTTTTGATTGGGTCATTTATTTTTCTGGAGTTGAGCTGGAGGAGTTGCTTGTATATTTTTGAGATTAATCCTTTGTCTGTTGCTTCGTTTGCTATTATTTTCTCCCAATCTGAGGGCTGTCTTTTCACCTTGCTTATAGTTTCCTTTGTTGTGCAAAAGCTTTTAAGTTTCATTAGGTCCCATTTGTTTATTTTTGCTTTTATTTCTAAAATTCTGGGATGTGGGTCATAGAGGATCCTGCTGTGATTTATGTCGGAGAGTGTTTTGCCTATGTTCTCCTCTAGGAGTTTTATAGTTTCTGGTCTTACATTTAGATCTTTAATCCATTTTGAGTTTATTTTTGTGTATGGTGTTAGAAAGTGTTCTAGTTTCATTCTTTTACAGGTGGTTGACCAGTTTTCCCAGCACCACTTGTTAAAGAGGTTGTCTTTTTTCCATTGTATATCCTTGCCTCCTTTGTCGAAGATAAGGTGACCATAGGTTCGTGGATTTATCTCTGGGCTTTCTATTCTGTTCCATTGATCTATATTTCTGTCTTTGTGCCAGTACCATACTGTCTTGATGACTGTGGCTTTGTAGTAGAGTCTGAAGTCAGGCAGGTTGATTCCTCCAGTTCCATTCTTCTTTCTCAAGATTACTTTGGCTATTCGAGGTTTTTTGTATTTCCATACAAATTGTGAAATTATTTGTTCTAGTTCTGTGAAAAATACCGTTGGTAGTTTGATAGGGATTGCATTGAATCTATAGATTGCTTTGGGTAGTATAGCCATTTTGACAATATTGATTCTTCCAATCCATGAACACGGTATATTTCTCCATCTGTTTGTGTCCTCTTTGATTTCTTTCATCAGTGTTTTATAGTTTTCTATGTATAGGTCTTTTGTTTCTTTAGGTAGATATACTCCTAAGTATTTTATTCTTTTTGTTGCAATGGTGAATGGTATTGTTTCCTTAATTTCTCTTTCTGTTTTCTCATTGTTAGTGTATAGGAATGCAAGAGATTTCTGTGTGTTAATTTTATATCCTGCAACTTTACTGTATTCGTTGATTAGCTCTAGTAATTTTCTGGTAGAGTCTTTAGGGTTTTCTATGTAGCGGATCATGTCATCTGCAAACAGAGAGAGTTTCACTTCTTCTTTTCCTATCTGGATTCCTTTTACTTCTTTTTCTGCTCTGATTGCAGTGGCCAAAACTTCAAACACTATATTTTATAGATTAATGCTATGTAATTTATGGCAAACATGAAGTCCCTTGGTGCTTCTTCAGTTAAATGTATCAGCTTTAAACATAGACACGTAAAGACATACACATACAGTCAATCAAACACTAATATTCTGAACTTAGAAAACCACTAATTTCAGAATAAATACTATTTTTTTAATATAGTAGTAAAGAAGATGAAAATGTTAGTTTTTCAGTCATGCCCGACTCTTTGTGATCCCATGGACTGAAGCCCACCAGGCTCCTCTGTCCATGAAATTTTCCAGGCAAGAATACTGGAGTGGGTAGCCGTTCCCTTCTCCAGAGCATCTTCCTGACCCAGGGATCAAATACAGGTCCTTTGTATTGCAGGCAGATTCTTTACTATCTGAGCCACCAAGGAAGCTAGCTAAAAAACTGTCACTTGAAATTTTCTAGCTTGGATCCAGGAAACATCAGCACAATAAAATGTTTTAGAAAGACCTCCATATTTTGTTGATGTTGGACATGACTGCATCACAGTTAAAACTACATATATCACAAAAGCACAACTTCAGATTGTTAAAGCCATGACTTTCTTGCTAGTTCGCACTGTAACTTTATACTTCTAAACAAACATGCTAACAATTTACATAAGTGGATTGAAAATATGATTTTCTTCTGATTCAAATTAAAAATACAGAAACACTAATACAGTGTTACATGAATAATTAAGAACTATTATTTATCTGTTAGCCAAGAGGCCACAGCACCACCAGTAACTTTTCTGTAATACCAAAGGGAATACATTCCCCCTACTATGAAAGCTAGTTCTGGGCCATAGTCCTGTTTGCATCATAAACTAACTCTGTGAAGGTGAGCTCTTTGGCTTCCCAACACTTTTGTTTCCTTAGCTATAGAATTAAAGGAGTTTGCTTAAGATGGCCTGTAAGGGACTTTTCCACTCAAAAATAAATTGTCAGCTTGAAACTCTTCACTATGGTAAGATTTTTAAAGTAGAGTAAATTTTTTAAAAGATAAATGGATATTTTTTTCTTGCTGGAAAGTGAAAGTCACTCAGTCACGTGCAACCCCAGGCTTCTCTGTCCTTAGGATTCTCCAGGCAAGAATACTGGAGTGGGTAGCCGTTCCCTTCTCCAGGAGATCTTCCCAACCCAGGGATAGAACCCAGGTCTACCGCATTGCAGGCGGATTCTTTACCATCTGAGCCACCAAGGAAGCCCAAGAATACAGGAGTGAGTACCCTCTCCCTTCTCCAGCAGATCTTCCCGACTTAGCAATCCAACTGGGATCTCCTGCACTGCAGGCAGATTCTTTACCAACTGAGCTACCAGGGAAGCTCTTTCTTCCTGGGCAATACCATAATTCTAACTATTCTATACTGTTCTTCAGAAAATATTTTGCTCATGGAATTTCAATCTAATGACTGATATTATTAAAAAACCTGAAAACAAAGTATCAGACAATAAAAATGCTGCTTTAAAACTTTAGAGTTTGTGATATTTAGGTTAAAAAAATGATACACCACTACCAATTGGAATATCCCAGCTTTTAACTTTAAGTTCTAAGAATGATCAGAGCAGAGGAAATGATGACTTAAGAGATTTCACCATTCAAGCTATTAAATATGTAATCAATACACTCCTGTTGAAAAGTAAATACCCTGCCTGAAATACTATCAAGAAAGCAAAGTTAATGAAAATTGACTGTCACAGAAAAATATGATTCTTTCCACCAAAACACTACACAAAAATACATTATCTTGAATGAATGAAACAAAAAAATAAATAAGGCCGTCATGACTGAAAATGTTCTATGATGGAATATGTTTTCTCTGTTCCCACAATACATGTATGTTCTGCTTTAGTCACATTGTTTCTTGTTTTCTGTCCTCATCACAGGGCCCCCTTCGTAGGTTTTTAATTGAATGCAGTTCCAGTTATCTTGCAAATCCAACTTGCCTTATGGTCACAAGGAAAATCATTCCAGGCCCATTTGTCTTTGACGTTAACAAGAACAACACATATTTCTTTCTGATCATTGTTGGGTTCACGCTTGTGCCAGAATCTGAAATGAAAAAGTATATATACATGTGTGTGTACATGTTGTGTGTGTATTGTAGAGGTCAGAGTACAAGGCAGAGAAAATGCCCCCAGTGAAACATTTACAGTTGCACTGTCCAACAGAATCAGAGCAAATGACTACCATAGAGGTTCCAGAATAGACAGTGCTCTGTTCTGAGTAGGCATTCTTATACTGGCATTGCTGTTGTTTAGTTGCTTAGTCATGTCTGACTCTTTTGCTACCCAATGGACTGTAGCCCGCAAGTCTTCTCTGTCCATGGGACTTCTCATGTGAGAATACTGGAGTGGGCTGCCATTTCCTTTTCCAGGGGATCTTCCCAACCTAGGGACTGAACCTGCCATCTCCTGAATTGATAGGCGGATTCTTTACCACTGGGTCACCAGGGAAGCCCTACACCATATACCCCACCCCAAAATGAATTCAGCTTGCTGTCTTCTTCCTACTTTTGCCTATAAGGCTATTTTACCCTAGTTGTATACTCACACCATCTGTGGGTTAAATGGTGTCTTGTCCACCCAATGCCACTGGCCATCAAGGTTCTCATTCGTAAGTCCCAGGAAATATGAAAATCGTCTATCCAAAAGTTGAGTGATAAAGTTCTGCGTAAAAATGTGAATTTTTATAAGTATATTTGCATTTATCAGTTGACAACCATTATTTTAAGAAAAGAGGAAAGAGATCAAATAAACTACTAGTTAAACACAAAAGCGTTGGTTAGATGTTTTCAGATCCTGCCTCTGATATTTATGGTGTGATGTTAGTAAGTGCTTTAATGTCACCAAACCCGTTTTCTCAACTCCAAAAGGGACAACTCCACTACTTCAGAGGGTCACTGTGAAGGTTAAATGAGATCAGCTTGCAAATTACTTAGCCCAGCTCTTAATGGGATTGGATTTTTAGGAAATTTTATTTTTAAAATTGCCTTCCTTAATTATTTGCATATTTCATTAAATTACACTTATTTCAAAGAGTTGCTGAACCTATAGTTGCAAAGCCATGGAAACAAAGTCCTCCAGGAAACCATGTTAACCAAGAATGGAGTAGAATCTGAGTCTGGGTATATAATATAAGGAAATATATTGTGTGAGGAAATAAATTTCAGCTCAGAAAGGACTTTACCTTGAGATTTCTTTTTTTAGAATAACAAACGTACATCTGAATTGTCTGTCCTATTCTTTATCCTGAGAAGATATTTCAGTCCTGATTAACCATTCATTTATTTACTTAATCATCAAACACTTATCAAGGTCTGTCTAAGTGGGCCTAGCACTGCATGGGCCACTGGAGATACAAACATGGATAAAGCATGGCTGTAGCCCTCTGCAAAGAAGCAGTCATTGGAAGAGCTGCAGTAGCGAACACTGAACTCAGTGCCCTGGCCATACAATGTACAAAATACCCTGAAAGTGTCTCCAGATCAGAACAAGAAGGATGGAGTGGGGAAGGTGGTCAGGGTCATTTTCTTGAGAAAATATCACATGAGTCAGATCTGGGAAGACCAGAAGATGTTGGCCACATGAAGAAAAATGCAAGAGGAAGAAAGTCTTTCCAGGCAGATGGGAGAGAGGAAGCAAAGGCATAGAGGTGGAGCAGAGCTGAGAAATTCCTCTCTCTGCAGAGATTGAAACCAGCAGAGAAACTGACATGAGCCTCTCAGCATACCTGCTCAGCCTCTGTGCTGATGGTGGCCAGGTGACCTCCCATCCCAGAGCAGTGGCTTTCACTCTGAGCCCACGTGTTGTTGTCATTAAAAGGAAAATAGCAGTTGGACTGGAAGGCTCTCCAGCCCACAGGACAGCAATTCCAGGTGCCCCCTCAAGTGAAAATCGAAAGGAAAATTAAGTCCAAGGGAGCATGCCATATGTAACAAATCATATAGTTATTTTACTACCTAAAATCCAATTAACACGTAAGAGAAAAATACCAGGATTAGCAATCATTCTGTCCCCCCTATAAAAAAAGGATCCTGAAAATTACGGTTCTAAATAGCTCCTAAACAAAAGTATCTGAATCACATAATGACCATGAGAAAATTACAAGGTTTTCTCTTAGAAGACATGATCATTTTTCAACATCCCTACATCTATTTACAACCATATTTGAAAGAGTTCTCATAGCAAAGCTTTTGGTGGGACATTTTATCTGAAGGAGGCAAAGAACCTGCTAAAATGCTCATGTAATGAGACTTCACAGAATAAAAGAGATAAAGACACTTTGGCAAAGTTTACATATTCTAGGAGGGAGCAGTCCTTATATATCTGAACCAAAAGAAAATGTTATGCTTTGGATGCCAAAAAAGCCTCATAAATGTTTTGTTCATATTCTCTGGTTAGTTATTCAACTGCTCACAATCATGAAAATAATTCTATCTCAATTTATTGATGTCCGCTCCTGTGCCAGATTCTCATCTTGTGCTCTTTTCATCTCTCTCTTTGTATAATAATGTAGAAATGATATGCTTTAAATCAGGCTATGAATTTGAATGGAAATAAGGAAGAAATTATCTTCTATTCGCTGTACCTTTCAGTTCTGGTTTCTCTCTGACGCATGTCACCTTTGGGTGCTGCTTTGGGAGCCTGAAGATACCCGTTCCTTTCTTACAGGGTAGAATGTTGTGGTGAGTCACTGTGAAGGAGGAAAATAATCTTAGTTTCCTTTTCCTGTATAACCACTTACTTTGGGGACATACTGCACTAAGTAAATTTTCTTTTACCATAATAGTTAAGGTCCCCACCTTCTCTGATCTTCCTATGCAGTTCCTTTGTTTCAGCTCCAGGTGAATTGGTTGAAAAGAATTGTTGAAAATTAATATTTTCATTATTATGCATGCGTGTTAAGACATTTCAGTCGTGTCTGACTCTTTGCAACCCTATGGACTGAAGCCCGCCAGGCTCCTCTGTCTATGGGATTCTCCAGGCAAGAATACTGGAGTGGATTGCCATGCCCTCCTCCAGGGGATCTTCCTGACCCAGGAACTGAACCCGCATTTCTTATGTCTCCTGCATTGGCAGGTGCGTTCTTTACCACTAGGGTCACCTGGGAAGCCCTTAGTGTCCATTTCATGCTTTATGGGGGTAGTTTGCAAACCTTAATGTCCATGTGCTTTTAAACATGTTTTTCTATCAATATTTGTGCTTAGAGTGGAGATTTTTGTGACCACTGGTATTCTTCTGCAAAGTCCTACAAGTCTTACACACTAATCTTTTCAGTATTTTCACTTTGAAATATAACCAAGTCTAACAAAGTGAAAAACATAAATGTACAGTTTATCAAATTATTATAAAGTGAACATTCCAACAACCCAGCTCAAAATATGCAACATTACCAAAGCCCCAGGTGACCTTCACAGCCCAAACACAAATCCCTCACTTTCTCTTAAAGGTAATCATGCCATGGCTTTTAAAGCAATCACTTTGTGCTTTGCTGCATAATTCTACCACTTCATAACCTATCACAAAACCATATAGATCAGATTTGCCTGCTTCTGAACTTTTTATGAGTGAAATCATACTTTGGGTTTTGTCTTCTGCTCAGGGTTGTTTCTGAAATTTATCTGTGTTGTTTCATGCAACCATAACTCATCAGTTCTCATTGCTGAAAGTCATCCATTATCTTAATGAACAAAAATGTATTACTAATAAAATTAAAAAAAAAAAAAGAAACACATACAAGAAAAAAAAAAAAGTATTTATCTTTTCTTCTTCTGGTAGATAGTTGCCCTATTTCCAGTGTTTGGCTAGTATGAGCTCTGCACCTCTGAGCATTTTTGACCATGTATCTTTAGAGCACAGAAGCATACCTTTGTGTAAGGTCCAAGCACACATATGCAACTGCTGGTAATAGGTTATACCTATTGCCAACTGTGGTTGGGGTAACCTTTTTCAAAGTGACTATACTGCTGTATGCAGTATAATCTGTATGCAGGTAAATAAGCAATAGTTAGAATCAGACATGGAACAACAGGCTGGTTCAAAAGGGAAAGAAGTACATCAAGGCTGTATACTGTCACCCTGCTTATTTAACTTATATGCAGAGTACATCATGAGAAATGCCAAGCTGGATGAAGCACAAGCTGGAATCAAGATTGCCAGGAGAAATATCAATAACCTCAGATATGCAGATGACACGATCCTTATGGCACAAAGCAAAAGAAACAAAAGAATTTCAAGATGAAAGTGAAAGAGGAGCATGAAAAAGCTGGCTTAAAACTTAACATTCAAAAAACAAAGATCATGGCATCTGATCCCATCACTTCATGGCAAATACATAGGGAAACAATGGAAACAATGAAAGACTTTATTTTGGGGGGCTCCCAAATCACTGTAGATGGTAACTGCAGCCCCGAAATTAAAAGACACTTCTGGAAACAACCTAGATGCCCATCAGCAGACGAATGGATGAGGAAGCTGTGGTACATATACACCATGGAATATTACTCAGCCATTAAAAAGAATTCATTTGAATCAGTTCTAATGAGATGGATGAAACTGGAGCCCATTATACAGAGCGAAGTAAGCCAGAAAGATAAAGACCATTACAGTATACTAACACATATATATGGAATTTAGAAAGATGGTAACAATAACCCTATATGCAAAACAGAAAAAGAGACTCAGATGTATAGAACAGACTTGTGGACTCTGGGAGAAGGCGAGGGTGGGATGTTTCAAGAGAACAGCATCGAAACATGTATCTTATCTAGGGTGAAACAGATCACCAGCCCAGGTTGGGTGCATGAGACAAGTGCTCGGGCCTGGTGCACTGGGAAGACCCAGAGGGATTGGGTGGAGAGGGAGGTGGGGGGGGGGACCGGGATGGGGAATACATGTAAATCCATGGCTAATTCATTTCAATGTATGACAAAAACTACTGCAATGATGTAAAGTAATTAGCCTCCAACTAATAAAAATAAATGAAAAAAAAAAAAAGACACTTCCTCCTTGGAAGAAAAGCTATGACCAACCTAGACAGCATATTAAAAAGCAGAGACTACTTTGCCAACTTTGACTAATCAAAGTTATGGTTTTCCCAGTACTCAAGCATGGATATGAAAGTTGAACTATATAGAGAGCTGAGCACTGAAGAATTGATGCTTTTGAACTGTGGTATTGGAGAAAACTCTTGAGAATCCCCTGGACTGCAAGGAGATCAAACAGTCAACCTTAAAGGGAATCAGTCCTGAATATTCATTGGAAGGACTGATGCTGAAACTGAAGCTCCAATACTTTGGCCACCTGATGGGAAGAACTGACTCCTTGGAAAAGATCCTGATGCTGGCAAAGATTGAAGGCAGGAGAAGAAGGGGATGACAGAGGATGAGATGATTGGATGGCATCACCAACTCAATGGACATGAGTTTGAACAAGCTCTGGGAGTTGGTGATGGACAAGGAAACCTGGCGTGCTGCAGCCCATGGGGTCACAAAGAGCCGGACACAACTGAGCCACCAAACTGAGTACTACTGTACACTCCCACCAGCAGAAATTCACTGATGGTCTAGTTGCTCTGCAGTATCATCAATACTTGCTACCGCCAGACTTTAATTACTACCATCCCCAAGCTTTTAGTGGTATCTCATTGTGAGTTGAATTTGCATTTCTCTGAAGACTAATGAAGTTAAACATATTTTATATGTTTATCAGACATTTCATTTTTTTTCTTTTCTATTGTGCCTGTTCAGGCCTTAGCCCATTTTTCTATTGTCAGTATTTTTCCTATTGATTTGGAACAATGGTTTAAATATTCTATACTCTAATCCTTTATTAATTATATGCATTAAAACATATTCTCCTGTTTTCTGTTGTCACTCAGAGTTATTTTTATTGGACAGTAATTCTTACTTTAATGTAGTATACTTTGGTGACTGTCTCTTTAATGGCTAGCACAGTTTTGTGACATGTTTAAGAAATCATTCTCTGTCTCAAGGTCATGAATATATTCTCCATGTTTTTTTTCTAAAACATTAATTTGCCTTCCTATTTTAATCAATTCTCCACCTTAGGTTGGTTTTTGAACATGATATGAGGCAGGAGAACAATTTCATTTTTTAATATGGATAATCAATCCTCTCTACTACAGTAATTGAACAAGACTGTCCTCTCCCTAAACCCTGCAATATCCCCTTCTGTTCACTTTTTAATTAATTTTCATTGGAGGATAGTTGATTTATTCCCTTCAGTTTTATTTTGTTTGTTGTTGTTTAGTTGCTCAGTCCTGTCCAACCCTTTATGACCCCACAGACTGCAGCCAGCCAGGCTGCTCTGTCCATGGGATTCTCCAGGCAAGAATAATGCAGTGGGTAGCCTGTTTTATATAGAGTTCATAAATACAGATCTGTAACAAAGCTCTCAACATTCTTTCTCTATTTGTTTATTCTTACACCTATACTACATTACTTTATTTATAATAACTTCATACAATGTCTTGATATCAGAAAGAAGTCTTCCAGCTGTTCTTCTTTTCAAAGGCAGACTACAATCCATCTGAAATTTGAGGGGTTTTTTCTGGTTATTCTTTTCTAGAAAGATGCAGTCCTTGTTATCCTGGTCAAAAGTGAAGAATGATTTACTGCAATCTCCAACCTTCCAGTGTATAGGAACGGGTCTAAGTTCCATCATTCATTCCCTGGCTCAAGGCTGCATCATCAAAAAACAGAAGGTCAAAGGCTTTCTCTGCATCTATTGAGATAATCATATGGTTTCTATCTTTCAATTGGTTAATGTGGTGTATTACATTGATTGATTTGCGGATATTAAAAAATCCTTGCATTCCTGGGATAAAGCCCACTTGGTTATGGTGTATGATTTTTTTAATATCTTGTTGGATTCTGTTTGCTAGAATTTTGTTAAGGATTTTTGCATCTATGTTCATCAGTGATATTGGCCTGTAGTTTTCTTTTTTTGTGGCATCTTTGTCTGGTTTTGGAATTAGGGTGATGGTGGCCTCATAGAATGAGTTTGGAAGT